TTAATGTTTTGAAGTGATATGGAGTGGCATAGTGCGTATACACCCTTGGGAGACCCTCACTTTTCTCTATTTATTGCTCTGCTACAGCTTGGTGTCACAGCACACCAGTGGCCGGCACCCCCGTTATTGTTGGCCGGCAGTGCATTGTTGATGGCCGGTAGTGTGCCCTCTTGGTCGGCAGGATGGTCCGCAGTAGCTCTTTATGGCTGGCAGGCCACTGGTGCATTCCTCAACCAGCAGCTAGTTCTCAAGGACACCCTACAAACAGAGCATCTAAAGAGAATTTGGAGAGCTTTTAAGGACGGGAATCGAGAGCATGCATCCTCCCTTGTTCAAGGCAGAGCTGAGGCAACCTGATTTACTGCTTTATTTGTTAATTAGCATTTGGTTTTGTAACTTAATTCATTTGTTAATTAGTTAAAGTATTGTACTAATTAATTGTAGCTAGTTATTCATTTTGGTTGTGTAATAATTAGTCTAATTAGATTATTAGATCAGTTGATTAGCTTAGCATAGCTAGCTTAGCTTATTATTCGGACCCTCCGTCGAGAGGGCAAATTTTGTAATAAGTGCGCGTGAGTGTGTGAATGTTTCCAACCCCACATCTTTCTCCCTTTTACTTAACTGCTGACGATGGTTAGTTTTAGGTCATATTTTGATTAGCATTCCTGTGCTCGCATGTTTGCATCCATTCATCTGTATTGCATGCACCGGGCTCGGCGCATCATACTAACCGCATTGTATTTCAATTTCTACTTGGATACGTGATTATCAAGTTGTATCTCACATGCCATCATAGAATAGCCGAGCCTATCTTAGTTGCATTTTGCATGTGTTGCATTAGGCTACCTTAACATAAGCTAGGATCATGCATTGATTACTAACTAGCTATTGTTTTGGCTCGGAGTACACTGTAAGTGTTTATACTTTAGCATCTTGCATGAGTGTAAGTGTTGCCATGATAGCATGCTTGCCATGATGCTAACTGCTTAATTGATCAACTGCTTGAATGCCTGTGGGTGAAGGTTGGATTACTTGAATTGGAACAATTCATCGAAATGATATGATATGTGTGACAAGCAATGTAGTGGATGATGCTTAGGAAATACAGTAAACAAACAAAGCAACGCTTCAGAAAACACCTCATGGGGTGAGTGGTGATGAATCGCTCCACTTAGACGGGAATCTCCCTTTTGTGTTTTTCGAACTCTTACCTTCAACTCACAGTTCAAAGGCCCTCAAATGCTGACAAGGGTTCTTCATGTAGAAGCCGTGGAAGCCATTTTTCTTCCTGATCATATTCACAACTTTCCCTATTCTCTAACGGGGTGACAGACTAGGTTGGTTCAGTATCCAGAATTAAGGCACACACATGTTGTCTCAATTTATGGGGCTGCCATACAGATTTCAAGCCAAGGATACACCCCTGGGTATTTAAACCAGACTTTAGTCTTTGAAATTCCAAACCTTTGTGTTCTAGGCATCGCCATTCAAACTCTAGTTTCCACCGTCGCAGTTGGTCTCCTAGATACTCATTGCAAAACACAGCCAAGACGCCTTTGGCAGGGAAACGGTACTCAGGGAGAGCACTTCTGATCGCCATTCTAGCTTGAAGCAGGCTTGATCTTAAGCTTCAGGTAGAGGTACCCTTATACTTTAGACCATTGACAAGGCTTGAGGAGGTATATCCGGAATGCAATCTCGAAATTTTCTGAAGTTGAAACACACTAAGATGCTCCAAAATTTCCCTCTTTTCTTTTGCTTTACAGTGCGGAACCTATATAGCTTCAGATAGGTCTTTGTTCTATTGTTCTCACATGACATGGGTTGAACCCTACAGTTTTATGAAAGTACAAATCCTGTTTTGTACAAATGTGGAGAATAGCACAACACTCTCAACACAAAACGATTTATTTTTGAAATTGAAATTGAGAAATGAGTTCTTAACCGGGTATTAAGCCTATGACTGGCCACAGTACACCATGACTCAACAAAGAGAAAACGAAGGTAAAACAACCTTAATACATCTATTGACACTCAAAATGACTCACAACAAGAATCGAGACAAACAAAAACAACAAACACAACACTCGAATATGTTCCAATGGCGAGAGACCTCTCAGTTCACAAGGAGCCTCCTTCTCCGGGTATTGTTTCCCACCCTTTCTTATTTGTGATTCTCATATCACTATGGCACTCAATCTCTATTTATCTGACAAGCCCTTTCCTCACTTTTCCTCTCAATGCACTTCTCTCTATTTTTTTTTTTTTTTATCCCTCCCTTGGGTGGTTGATGGATAAAAAGGAAGTTAAGGGCTCTTGCCCCTGGTATTCTGCTAAATTCTCCTTCTTTCGCTCACAACTAGTGATTTCTCCCACAAAGGGGTTGTGGCGCGATTGGATGTGTAGCAGATCTGCAACTAACACCAGTTAACGATGCCCTTGGCCAGTTTGGATGTGATCAGACCTGTCCAGATGAGGGAGTGGAATATCCTGCTCCATTCCAGTTCATGCTTCGCACTTGGCTTGATAGCTCACTATTTGGAGGATGAAAAAGCACTTGGCCCCCTGCTGCTAACTTCAGTTGCGCCCTTTCGGGCGAGTGCATTAATAATGGGGAAAAGACAGAAACCCTGACTAAACTGTGCCCATAGTTCATTTTTTTGACCATTTTGTTGTTTATGATTTTTTTCTAAAACAATTTTGACCAACATGAGAGTTAGATTAACGTACTTGTTCGATTTTTTGATTTGAAATCATGCAAGTTAGGTTGTGCGCACTGAAAATTTTCCTTTTTTGGGTTCAAGATATGGTCCAGTTTTGCAAAAATAGAATAATGTTCGAGAAAATTAGTCAACTTCATCAAAATCTGCAAAAATGTTTTTGCATATGGCCACTGCTTAACCAATGTGGAATTTACTCATGAGATGTACAACCTCAGATCTGAACTTGAATTATCTTGCAGTTGAATCTTCTAACAGAATAGGACAACCAAATTTGAACGAGGACAAGCCAATTTGCGCATGGATAAGATAGCCAAGTTTGAACAAGGATAAGCCAATCAACATGGATGAGCTAAGCAGGCTGAAAATGGTTGGGGCTGAACTTTAGGATAATGTTACCTACGTATCCCAAAGATAGGAATCAGGCTGTACGTAGTTCTGGGAGCTAAGCAGGCTGAAAATGGTTGGGGCTGAACTTTAGGATAATGTTACCTACGTATCCCAAAGATGGGAATCAGGCTGTACGTAGTTCTGGGTTAAGGTGCACTTAGGTGTTGACACTTTCCTTTTGCGCTCTAACTTTTGCCAAGGCTGCCCTTTCACGTTTTCAACCTTGTGAGCTCTATTTTTCCTTTTCATTTTTCATTTATCTTTCTTATTTTTTTCCTTTTCTTTTTTTGTTTCCATTTTTTTCATTTTTGTTTTTTTCTTTTCTCTGCTCTAACTTTTGCCTGGGTCACCCTTTCGGGTTTTTGGCCTAACAAGCCTGTAGACGCGCCCGCGTGGGCCTCGCTACAGTTCGGACTCGATTTGTGTCACGGTTCTAAATCTGAACCAAAGAGTCCAAATCCGGCAAATCATTTTGAGAAACAGATTTTTTTGAAAAGAAGTGCCAAACATGGACTGCTTTGCCAGATACAGAGTCGCCACCTAAATATTTTTATTTTGGGAAATTTAGGAAACCCTGACTCGGTGCCAAAGGCCACGTGTCCGTCATCACCAAAGTTGCCTCGGCTCGGGAACTTGGGTGCGATTGGGGAAGGTCAGCTATGAGCACCCCCTCTCGCCCGATCTGAAGATCGGCCTCTACTAACCATAATATCCAGCTTTGAAAACGTTATGTGTTCTTATTCCATTTATTAGTCTAGAATTACTATGTTATGCGTGCAGCAAACAAGTATAGACCAAATCGCCTATATTGGAACAAAACATTACATGTTCGTTTTGAAGATGGTTTGCTACTCGCAAGTAGGCTAAAATGCAAGTTTTGCCACCCTCGAGTGGGCTTTTAGAAAAGATGATTTTGCCACTATCTAGTGGGCTTAAAACTCACAATTTTAATGCATTATTCCAATTTAGGTAATTCAACCTCCATCCACAGGCATTCAAGTAGTTATATCACATAGGCAGTTAGCCTCATGGTAATCATGCTGTCATGGCAACACTCACACGCATGCAAGGATGCTAAAGCATAGAACTTACAGAGTACTCCAAGCCAAAACAGAAACTAGTTAGTAATCACATGCATGATCCTAGTTCATGTTAAGATGGCTAATGTAATACATGCGGAATGTCACTAGAGTAGGCTCGGCTAGTCTATAAATGACATGTGAAAATGCGCAAGTAGCATGTATTCAAGTTAAATTTGAAATACTTATGCAGTTAGTATGATGCGCCGAGCTTGGTGCATGCAATACTGATGAATGATGCATGCATAGCATAAGGTATGCTAAAGTAAACATGTCCTAATACTGTATGCTAAATTAAACATGACCTATTACTAACCATCATAAGCAGATAAGTAAAAGGGAGAAAGAAGTGGGGGTTGGAAGACATGCACACACTCACCCATACTTATTACAAATTTACCCTCGCTCGAAGGGACCAAAAGAATATACAAATTAATTATTACAGACCACTTAATTAATTAACAAATTAACTAAACTATGGAAAGCAGTAAAGGCCTCGGGAAGAGGATCCAATGCGCTCGGGTTTGCTCGGAAATCCAATGCCATGCACAAGTTTGCCTCTGTTTTCCCTGCTCTGCTCCTCTGAAAATTGTACAAGTCCCAAGATATGCTCTCTGCACACTGTGAAACACCACCGGCTGAGGGGAACGGCCACCGACCAAGGGAAATGATCACCGGCCACAAAATTGATTCATCGGCCAACACTATTTGCCGGTCGTGAAAATGAAACTGTCAGTCATACCCCAAGCGCAACAAACTCTAATGATAATTGTCTGGTGCAATCATGCCCTTATGAATATGCCCAAACTCACCATGCTTCTGTGCTGTGCCTCTGATCGTCGGATATTGGTTGAAAAGTCCTGGATTCAGATATTTTGAGCCGTACTGGGTTCCATTTGAGATGTACCTCACAACAGGTCTTAAATTGAACATTTTTCAGCTTGAGATTGTTTCTGTTTTATAGGAAGAAGGCCCTCGACTGAGAATGGACTTGAAGATTTTTCCTGTATACGTTGACAACACCTCTTCTCACATCTTCAATACGACCGAGGTTCAACGAATCCGGGGCATGTTCACAGGATGGCATATTCCTGATAGTGAAATTTTTGGACCTTATGAACTTCTTGATTTCCCTCTGTGGTTCCCTTATGTAGATGGTTTGTCTTCTAAACCTTATCTGACAAATGTTTTTGTTTCTTGTTTTTTAGCAATCTGTCAGCAGCTCCTCGCACCTTTGACCTGAGGTTCAAAGAGTCATGCTCAAAACTAACAGGCTCAAGGAGGTCTTATCTGACATGTTTTGTTCAGGAATATGATGAAATAGATATAGTGATCTTATTAGTTATGGTCTTTGTATATCTTTCATTGTGAGAAGGTTGTCACGTTTTTTTTGGGCTCTAGTTGAAAAAAAAATAAAACCTAGCTAATGCTCCTATTAGCTGGAACTGTAGTGGATGATGCTTGGATCATGGTGTTGGATGATCTATCTTGGGGGGGGGGTTACATTGATCTTAAAGTCGGCCACAAATAGTGACCTATGCCATTTTAAACAACGAAGTGCATAGTCATGCTTTCCAATTTTTGTATGCATTCAAGGATGGATTGAATTGGTTTGTGCTTATTTCTTTTATTTCTATTGCAGTGATCCCCTCTTCCACTTCAAAATCTGGAATTAGCAAGGGGGCACTAGCTGGCATTGTAGTAGGAACAGTTGCAGGTGTAGTTATATTATCTGCTGTTGTGTCACTTCTCATATGGAGATTGCATATGAATAAATACACCGCAGTTTCAAAAAGACGTCGATGTGAGTATCTTATAATTACCAATATCTGAGGTGGAAGTAAATTTATCATGATTCTCCATTGTGTTGTCCCTACTTTTTGTAGTTGACCATAAGTATTTCAAAATGTTGGCAATTTTGATAAATATTCTAATTATTAATTCTATAAAAAAATATAAAATACTCAGATCTATTATAGTAATCATTGGCTGCTTTAAACCAAGGTGGCTATTTGATATTTTTTCAAAGATCTGGTTTCAATATATGAAGTTTATCATGATAGCTTTCGTAGATGAACAGGAAGCTGCCAGTTTCCAAATTTCAGCTGTTCTATGGATACATGAAAGTGATGTATACGCATATTATCCCTCTGGAATTACCCTTCCAACTTATCAAAATAGCATGTTTGATTTTTGTTGAGATTAAAACTTCAAAAAGTATTCTCCAACTTGGCGTAGCAAGTGGCTGCTACACTCGACAGGGTCCTTCCATACAGAAAGAGTTTCTGCGGCTTAGTCAGACCCATTGGTTTTAGGACGTCCATGAAAAGCTAGATATGTACCATAGGATCTCCAGACCCGTCGAAATGGTCAAGGTGTGGTATTTTGAATCTATCTGGGAGTCGTAAGGCAGCCTCAGTGTATCCATCCTCAATGTCGGGAATGGAGTTAAGGCCCTGTGCCTTTTTGAATTGCTTCTCAAGGTTCGCAATTTTCACTACAGTCGGATTGAGCTCATTAACATCAAGGGGATAAAGCCTCTCATTAGGCTGCACTAGGGATCTGAAAAACTGAGCTTGAGTCAACCTTTCTCGGGGGTCTGGACCCTGCAAATCATAAGCTGGCGGAAGTGGGTCAAAGTTCGGTTGGAGTCCCGAGGCTGGATGTGTGGTAGGTGCCCCAGATGGGCATTGCATTCCAACATTGGTCTCATCCTGCATGGTAGTTCCCGGATTTAATGCCACTATCGTGGCCACAACTTCTTTCGAACTTTGTGCCATCACGGGCTGCTGAGTTTGAACAAAGTTGATGTGACTGGTGACTGTCAGATCAGTTGAACCGGTGAACCCTAACTGGCCTTTCTTTGCCTTACCACTGGCGAAAGAAACACTGGTTGCTCTTTTGTACTGAATCTCTATTCTAACAAGGTCTATTAACACAACTCCAATGTACCCGGAGGATATTGGAGCCTTTTGAAGCTAAAGTTCCAGGACTACCTTGCAAAAGAAGAAAACAGACAGCATTTTAGCCTGATTTCACCAGAACAAATATGAGCATAGCTGAATGGCAGTGCTCTCTACTGAATTATGTGCAAAATCAGAACCAAACTAATACCCTCAGGCTGATAATCAAACTTGCAACTGATACATACAACCTGCAGAGTTTCACTCTAAAAGCACGTATCAAGCAAGTGAGAGCCAAAACACCCCTATGGTGGGGTAGGGTTTTCCTGCCCTATTTTGTCAGGAGCTAGGGTTTCACTACATACGTAGCGGTTCCAAACAACCTATAATCGGGTAAGCAACCTGTCTTAACTTGGAATGGTCTCTACGGCTGTCGATGTGCACTAGGTCGAATGGTCAAAAAGGGTGCCTCGGTAACAACCGAGGTTTGTGCTCCCATTGTGGCAGAGCCCGTAACCGGTCAGCCTTATGGCATGCTTTTCCAAGCAAGCCTTCGACAAACCGTTCAGAAATAGCAGATGGCAAACACTGTGACTTAAGAGCACTAATGCAAATGCAATGCAATGAAACACATAAGTATAGGCAAAACAACATATCATGAGCGCGAGTTAAGTTCTTTACATCCCTAGCAGAGTTGCCAGAAACTGTAGACTACCCTGAACTCTCTCCGCGCCCCCCTTTCGGAGAGGGCGCGAATTGGGTTCTTAGCTACTACAGTTCGGACTCTTGTCACGGTTTTGAATCTAATCTCACAAAATGGAATGTAAGACTGATAAATCACCAAAGAGTCTAAACCAGGAAAATTGTTTTGGAAATCTGATTTTAATCAAAAAGCGCCAAACATGGACTGCTTTGCCAGATTTCAGAGTCGCCACCTAAATATTTTGTTTTGGGAAATTTAGGAAACCCTGACTCATGCCTAAGGCCACATGTCTGTCATCACCAAAGTTGCCTTGGCCCGGGAACTTGGGTACGAGGGGGGAAGGTCATGAAATGAGCACCCCTGCTCGTCCGATCAAAAAATCGACCTCTACTACGCATGATATGTTGTTTTTATAAACACATGTGTTCTTATCTGATTATTAATCTAAGTTACTATGTGATGCGCATAGCATACAAATATAGACTAAATCACTCAATTTGGAACAAAAATCTCAAGTTTGTTTTTCAAAAATGGTTTGAGTTTGCCACCCTCAAGTGGTCTTAGAAATGCGGATTTGCCACCAAACAAGGTGGGCTTAAAACATGATGATTTGCCACTCCAAGTGGGCTTAAAACTCACAATCGATGAATTGTTCCAATTCAAGCAATGAAGCCTTCATCCACAGGCATTCATGCAGTTATAGCAATTAAGCAAATAGCCTCATGGCAAGCATGCTAAACATGGCAACATACACATCTCATGCAGTATACTAAAGCGTAAACACTTACAGTGTACTCCGAGCCAAAACAAAAAACTAGTTAGAAAACAATGCATGCTCCTAACTATGTTAAGATGACTAATGCAACACATACAAAATGCAACTAAATAGGCTCGGCTATCTAATCATGGCATATGATTCGATTGGATAACATGTTGTTGAACACGTATTCAAATAGGTATTGAAATACGATGCAGTTTGAATGATGCGCTGAGCCCGGTGCATGCAATACGAATGAATGATGCATGCATGCAAACCATAAGTATGCTAATTGAAACGTACCCCAAACTAACCATCAAAAGCTGATAAGTACAAGGGAGAAAGAAATGGGCTTGGAAGACATGCACACATGCACGCACCCTTATTACAACATTATGCCCTCTCACAGGAGGGTGCGAATAAATAAAAGCTAAGCTAAGCTACTTATTACTACAAATCAACTAATTAACTATTCTAGCTAATTAATTACAAGCCGTCTTGAAAACTAGCTACGCTAAGCTAATTTAGAATATTACAACCCAAATTGAATAACTAGCTAATCTAACCTAATTAGAATATTACAAAGATGAATTGAATTAGATAAACACCTTAACTAATTAATTACAGAAAACTGGCAAATTAACTAACTAAGTAAAGCAGTTAAAATGGCCTCGGGGATGAGGGAGAAATGCATGCTCAGTTCGCTTCGCCCGGAAATGCATTTCCTTGCCATGAGTTGTCTCTGTTTGCACTCGCGGTGACCTCAGAGCATCAAATACACTTTCAGATTGCATCTGCCCCAAAACAAGAGCATTTTGGAAAATTTGCTGCAAGTGGCCGGCTGGCCACTTCAACTGGTTGGCAGGCTACCTCAACTGGCCGGTCGGCCACTACAAATGGTCGGCAGGCCAGTGCAAGTGGCCGACCGGCCACTTCTCTTTCCAAAATTTCAACTTTGCTGCAACATAGATCAATAAAGGCACAACAATGTATTTACAAGGAAATGTGTGTGCAACTACTCTCCTTATCATTTCTCGAGCACAAAGGAGCGTAGTACTCGGCTCTCAAGCCACCAATCACGCATCTCAATGCATGATGGCCAAAGAGCCAAGCTTGCACAATGTTAGTGAATGCACAAACAACACATAAGAGCCTCCACCTCTATCATGCATGATCAAGGGTGTCGGTGACCGAGAAACATAACATGTTTCATCACTATGAGTATAAAACATGCCACGTTTCTTGTGTTTGGATTAATGTCCGATCCAAACACAATGCAATGCAATACACATGCTTATCTTGCACAAGTTTTAGTTGGTTCATTTTTTTTACTCATTTTAGATTACCGATAAGCCCTTTAACCGGTTAAGTCCAAAAGTGAGAAGTCCTCTAATTGGAAAGATGGACCAAGCCACAAGCTTCTTGAGCATGACAGAAGCATCATGTATTAGGCATGAACGCCTCAATTTCGTGCTCAAACCAACAAAGTGCTTAAGTCCACTTTCGAAAGTGATGCAACAAATGAAAGATGGCATGCAATGGTATACATTTCAGCACTGAAATGGCATGGCAAATGATGCTAAATGACATCGAAGCATGAAAATGATGCATGCAAAGCATACTTGGAGTCAAAAGCATTGAAGCTAGTAAAGAGCATAACACTAGAGGCATGCAATACATAGCACAAATGACCAAACCAATCCCGGACAGAGGTTAAACATGCCAAAATAGAGGCCTAATCATGCTGAAATGGGAGCTCAAAATGCTAGAAGAACATGCACACATGTTGGCATATGAGCAAGGCATGATACACAACCCTCAAAAGCTATGAAGAAGTGAAGTGTATGATAGTGTGACTACATTATATACACTGAAATTACATGCCAAATGGTGCCATACCATGCAAACATCACATACACAACATGTTAAAGGCCCCAAAACTCAAAGCTAGTTAAGGCCCTTTACACTACAACCATAATAAGCAATGCACAAATGACCCTAACCATTCAAAATAGATCTAAGGCAAGTCAAAATAGTGGCAAAAACATGCTAGACTTGTAGCATAGATGGCAAGAAAAATAAGCTCATGTATTGGCCCACAAACAAGGCATAATGCTCAACTTTTCAAAAGCATTGAAAGAGTGATTTAAGTGGAAGTATGGCAAAGATATAAGCTCTAAAATTACCTACCAAATGATGCCATATCATGCACACATCACAAATATAGCATGCTAAGGGCCTCAAAACTCAAGACTAGTGAAGCCATTTACACCATGGCCATACGAGTCAAGCCTCAAAGGGCCAAGATCATTCCAAACAGAGCTTAAAAAAGTCAAACAAGGCTAAAAACCTGCTGGAGTGGAGCCAATACATGCTAAAATAATAGGCCAAAACATCAAGTGAGCTAGGCTAGCAAGTAAGATTGAACTACAAGTGCAAAAACCGAGCAAGAGGTGACCCCACCAACCAAAATTAGAGTTAAAGCATGTTAAATAATGGCCAAAAACATGCTGGAGTGGAGCCAATACATGCTAGGATTATAGGCTAAGACATAAAGCATGTTAGGCTAGCAATACACTACAAGTGAATAAAGCATGCAAGAGGTGACCAAACCAGCCAAAAATAGAGTTATAGTAGGTCCAAAAAGTCACAAAAACATGCTCATTTGATAGGCCAACAACACATGCTAACAAGGCAAGAGGAGGGGGGACCACCCCCTCCTATTTGGGACCTCAAATCAAGTTTTCTACCACTAAAATTTGTCTAGAATTCAGTGGTTTTAAGGATAAAAAGAAGTTGTTTGGAAAGCTTGAAACTTAGCTCAAAAGGCCTTACACGCCGAGGAGCA